CTGACTGATGAGCCTGGCAGTTGTCAATTCTCCTAGGTGTTTTTTTATATATATATTTGCTTTTTATTGTCGTTGCTGGCAAAAAGGCTGATTATTGTTGGCAGGAGTCCGAGTGACAGGCCTCATTTGTAAAAAACCCACTCCCGATTGGAGTTAAAAAAAAACAACGCAGCAGGGAACCTTGGCATGAACCTGTTGGTTTTAATTTTGTTAGTTTTTCAGATTTTTTTAAACTGGGATTCGCACTTTGTTTAACCCTTTGGGGGCCACTAGATTTAGATTAGCTGGTGGTGGGCATTGAGAGAGTATTCATAAACCGCTTTTGGCAAATTTTTGTTTTGTGTCCCTGATCTGTACCAGCAGGGCTGTCGTGCCAGCTGGAGGACAGAAGCCCTGCCCGCTGTGATCTGCAGCCACGCTGGCGCCTGGCCAACAGTAGGGGTCGCTAAGGAGCCACAAAGCCCTGGACGCCTCCACTACTCCATGCTCTGACCAGTCATTCACCCTGTAAACCAGGGCTTTCCAATCCTGCTCCCTGCTGTCCCAGTCTTTCCCAGTTTCTCCCAGACTCCTCCCTGGATGGGACACCAGTCCATCACGGAAATTGCCCCCCAGCTATGCAGGTCCTCACTGGCGCAACTGGAGTAAAGGCTGCATCACCTTGAGCTTCTAAAAATGGTCATAGCATACCTCTAACTTTTAACCGTTAACTTCTGGTAGTGTAAGCAAATAAGATGACGGTTTTAATTAAAGCTTTTGGTTCCGGTGGGTAGGAAGTTAACGCGTCGGTGATGTCTTCAGAAATCGGACCATGCAAGCCTTTGTAGCTGAGCAGCAGTGTTTCCGATTTTCTTCTGAAATCCATGGGGAGCCTGTACGGGTACTGTACATGCAGTTTTCTTCTAGTTAAAATGTGAGTGTTCGCCGTCGTCACGGCCCTTTCAAAAATACACAAAGAAGCACGAACCTGCGGCTTTTCTCAGTGTGGTGAGCATGTTGGTGCTCCTCGGACTAACTCTGAGGTCCGACAGTGTTGCAGGCACCTGCATTGCCGCAGTGGGAGTTTAGGCCGACGAATGGAGCGCGGCCGCTCTGTGTCCCCACGGAAGGCGCAGACAGCAAAGGACAGTTCCCGTCAGAAGTTAATGACCCATGTGATTTAGCTTTACAAAATGTGGCCAGCCTGTCTCCCTGCGCTTCTTTGATCTGTCGGGCTGGCTTGCGAGATTTCAGGCCTTGTTAAGTCCGGACAGCTTTCAGAATAAGGTGTCACCTGCTGGTGCTGCTGTGGATTAATCTGTTAACCTTTCCAATCTTTCGCCTTTAGACCTCTGGCCCAGATTTGCCTCGGAGCACAAGAGGAGAGATTGAGTGAGCTCTTGAGAAAACAAAATAGGTCCACCTGCCTGAGGCACCATTTCACACTTACACAAAGTCCAGGACTGGCTATGAAAGAGCCGAACCAGTATCAGTCTGTCTGGACATTTCAGCTGTTGGCATTTTTTTTAAACATCTAGGTGTTGTGCATTCTCGTCATTATTTAAAATATTGTCCTCAGGCACAGTTTCACAGTCAACCCTGACTGCTTCTGTTTTTTTTTCTGCTTATTACTTTCGGAGTTAAGAGATCACTGCAGATCAAGGTCACTTAAGCTGTCCTCTCTTGAACAGAAAATTAAATCGTGGTGGGTTTTGAGCTCGGCAGAACTGAGAGATAGTGCAGGCCTGTGCTTTAAGCACAATGCACCGTACTGTTGCAGAACAGGGAAAACAGAAATCCCATGTAGGGATTTCTAATCGCTCCTAATTATGTTTTTAATTGGTTTTTAATAACACAATTAAATGAAGTTATACATCACAAGTGCGTATACAATCATGAGCACAGACTTCTAGGGAAACGGGAGCTCAAAGAGAAATGTTGCTCTAAGTTTCCGGGAAATATCGGCAAGACTCCCATTGGACAGACATGGCTGTTATCTGCCTCAGGTCGGTTGTATTTCGTTACCTTGGTGAAACAGAAACCCAGTACGTTTCATTTAAATTTGACACATCTGTGCACATTTCATAAAAGCGTCGAAAAATGATCTTGAAATATACATCTTTCCTCTGGATTGTGAAAGAGCCGGCTTGTCCTAAACTGTGGCATGGAGTGAACTGCCCTGCAATGGGAGTTATCTGTTCGGAGGCCCTAGAAAAGACTTTGTACCTGTGGGTCTCCTTGAAGTGCCAGCCCTCCTGAGTCCCGTGTTCAGGACCCAGAAGATCAGGGGCAGACCCTCTTCTGTTATTCCAGCATTCATCTGCACGCATGAGGCTTGGATTAGAGTCGGGATGAAACTGGCGAGTGGATTTTCCTGCTGCATCCTTTTAACCTCCCATCTTAACGTATCCCGGGCTATCCCACCCTCCCATCACCAGCATTCCCTCCTGATCCTCGCCGCGCTCCCACGGCTGTTGGAAAGATGGGGCTGAAAGGAGAAGAGGTGGGCGGGGAGCTTACAAGTTCCCCGGACTTTGTGTTTTCTCCTAATAAAATTGTAAATAACGCTGGGGTGCCTTGATTTGATAAGTGGAAATGCTGAATGTGGACAATGAAGTGCACTAAAGCTCCCTGGAATACTGCTGATAGAAGCATAATTAGCCGGCAGTGCTGTGCGTATTGATATCTTGAAGACTGCCGCGGCTGTTCTAATTATATTATATTAAAGGATTCAAGAGGCTAAAGATTAAATCTGTAATTTATAGGGCTTTGCCGTAGTGTTGCCAGCTGCCTTGCTTAACCTAGGGCTGTGCAGAGGGGGGACTTTGCTCTCGCTGTTGGATTAGACTTTGGCTTGCACGGAAAACCATTGTAGGGTATCGCAGCAGGTTTATTTCGACCTGTGCGTTCACCATTTGCTTGCAGAGAAACCCAGTTTAAAAGACGTTTTTCCTTTAGTTGCCTGTGATATGTTATTGTTGGGGAGGGGGTGGGGGGGTTGTTGTGTGTTTTTCCCATTTGTGCAGTCCTGCTTGTCTGGATTACAGCAGCGGGCTCTGTCCCTGAAAAGAAAAATGGCTTTGATTCGCGTAACAGGTGCTGTATGCTGTGGCTGTGTTGCCAAGCAATGAAATTATTCCTTCTTTTTAAAAGAACGTGCAGGAGTAGTCGATCCTCCCTCCCCCCCAGTTTCATTCTTAAATTGTATTCATCTTGTTAGTTGTCCATTAGCTCCGTTAATATTTCCTGTTCCCTGCTCCTCTGGGAGGCTGGTTCCCAGCTGGAGACCCGGGTGTGAT